TAGAGTGAAGGGAAACACTCAGAAAGTGCACTATGGTTCTCAATAGAAAAGCAGCTGTTTCTGATATAAAATGAAGTTTCGGGGCAAAAAAAAATTGGAATTCTAGCTTAGCTTTTTCCTTGATACGTCAGTTCTCTGGGACAAATACACACTCTTCAGAGTCATACAAAATAGCACAAACGTTTGTTAGCTGGTAGTAAGGTATAAGCCTAAATTGACTATTCAAACATTCAAACATAAATTCTGGGTCTATATTCTGAAATATGCCATTCCATTCCCCTTCCAATGAATATGCTTCCCTCATTACAAGTAATTAATTACATGTAAAAAGCTATTAGAAACGATTCCCTTCTAAAGCAGAGTGGTTTCACTATCAAAGACAGATCTTGTCTCTGAAAAGATGGCAAAAAGGAGTTTCGATGAATATTCCCTGAGAAGGAATTCTAGAGTCATTACAAAAAATAATGCTCCATTTCTCATGGAGTTTATAATGGTATTTTGTGCCTCCATGATTTATCAATATTGTTTGACCACTGTGGAGGGGATGTTGTGGGAAGGGGGAAATATTTGGGAAACAAACTATTTAGACAGCTCTTGAAAATATTTTCAGAAAATTTTTTTTTTAATGTATAGCAATAGCACTTAGACTTATATACCGCTTTACAGTGCTTTACAGCCCTCTCTAAGCCGTTTACAGAGTCAGCATATTGCCTCCAACATTCTGGGTCCTCATTATATACGGAAATGGTATATATGGGAAACAGTCATAATGCCTCTTCGATGAATTCATCCACTACGTGAATGCCTCAACCCAATTCTGGAAATCTCTTTTTTAAAAAAAATTTTTTTTTTTTTAAGTAGCTCTTTAACATAATTATGCACACTTTCACATTTGTGGTCCCTTTTATAGTGGGAAATCACAGTTAATTTCTTTGCAAGTAATATTTTCCATGTGTTGTGCTGTTTTAACCATTCTTTCAGTGGGGAAGTTGCCATGGTAATTATGTAAAGCTCAATTTTAGCTTGTCTAACTTGGAAGCGGATCTTCTCTTATTCAGCATTTGTATGGATGCTACAGCTTGAAACATTTGTAACTTGGATTTATGCACGTTTACTGAGGATAATTTTTAATGTTAATTTTCTGCTGAAATGTGGGCTTATAATTAATTTTATTACTGCTATTTTAATATCTGTGCCTAGTAGTTTTTAAAATTGATTATTTGTCTAATTTGTTTTCAGATTAATTTATTTTAAAGTTTAATTATTTCGTTTATACATTTGCTTGTATTAAACCTGTAAATTATCTACCGTTCAATCCTCAGGGACTCTTAAATAAATAAAATGTGGTAAGGTTCAAAGAGAGGGCTTCAATTATAAGTGGTTTCCTTTTATTTTTTTAATCTTTTGTACATTTTCATACAAAAAGTTGAAGATATACCGTTTATATCTTGGAGTCTCTATTATTTTAGTTCCAGTCATCAATTTTAAACTGCATAGTGATTTAATATTTATCAGCTATCATTATGACCAGTTTACCTGAAATAACAAAATAGCGGAAGGTCAAGTGATAGGAGACGATTAGCTCAGAAGTCTCTGGCTGGCTATTTTTGAAAATGGAATGCTTATATGAAAGAACTGTCTGGGATTAATCCAGGCATGATCTATCCCTTCCCCCATTAATTAATAGTACAATTTTGGGATGGAGAAATATATTCATACAAGCATCCTCTAGATGTCACTGAAGCACTGAAGACTACAGAAAAAGTAGTCCCAAACAAGGTATACTATAAATTCACTGATAACCACAGTCACCCAAACTCTTGTGTCTGTTTGATTGCTTGCAATCTTCAATTGGGTGAAATGGTGAATCTTAGGGCAACAATTTTTGAATTGATATACTTCAAGTGGGCTGACAGAATGTATCCAAATCCAGGGTCCATAACTTCCATGGCATTGAAATTTGGCAAAATTGTGGCTGCTTCAGTGCTGCCAAATTGGTACACCATTGTGATGCCCATGGTGACTTTCCCTACAAGGAAAGTCAATGGGAAAGCTGGCAGGAAGTCAAAAGTCTCCTACCCCCGCCCCCCACACTGCTTTTTGGCCCGCCCATGGTCATTCTGTTTGTCTGTCTAAGTAAGATCTTAAATTATGATCCAGTTATCAGTGTCAATTAGAGTTAAAGGTAAAGGTTTCCCTCGCACATATGTGCTAATCGTTCCCGACTCTAAGGGGCGGTGCTCATCTCCGTTTCAAAGCCGAAGAGCCAGTGCTCTGCGAAGAGCCTTGGTAGTACAGTGGTCTGAAGCACCCTGTTATTAAGATCAGCTGCCTGGAATTACTGCAGGTTCGAATCTCACCAAGGCTCAAGGTTGACTCAGCCTTCCATCCTTTCTAAGGTAGGTAAATTGAGGACCCAGTTGTGGGGGCAATAAGCTGACTTTGTATAAATATACAAAAGAAGGAAGGCTATTGCTTAGCACATTGTAAGCCGCCCTGAGTCTCCGGAGAAGGGCGGCATATAAATCAAATTTTTAAAAAAAGTGCTGTTTGAAGACGTCTCCGTGGTCAAAGGCACACGGAACACTGTTACCTTCCCACCAAAGGTGGTCTCTGTTTTTCTACTTACATTTTTTACGTGCTTTCGAACTGCTAGGTTGGCAAAAGCCAGGACAAGTAATGGGAGGTCACCAGTGCTGGGTTGCTACTGGTTTGCCCCAGTTCAGGCGAACCGGTAGCAGCGGCAGTGGGAGGCTCCGCCCACCCACCCGGATATCATCAAATATGATCTCCGCATGCGCAGAAGTGGCGCACTTGCTTGTTTTGCTCATGCGCACATACGCATGAACAAACCGGTAACAAAGGTAAGTGAAACCCACCTCTGGAGCTCACTCCGTTACGTGGCACTAGGGATTCGAACCGCTGATCAACAAGCTCAGCATCTTAGCCACTGGGCCACCGCATCCCATATCAATTAGAGTTAGAAGCTACCTATTAGTTTTAAATCACCTTCATTCTTTAAATGATAAATTCTGGGTAAAAATGTTTTTTTAGATCAGTCCTGTTTTTATTTTAAATAATGGGAATGTTTATCTGTTTCACAGAACTGTGAAAATGCCTTAGATTTTAGATGTTGGATTATTATGGGCTGTTACTCTTAACACTCTGGCAGAAAGATCAACTTTAGATCCCAATGTTCCCTACTGTGTGCCAGGTTAAAAGGGACAAAAAGAAAAAAATAAAGAAAAAGAAGGGAAGCTATTTTATTGGACTGTATCAGTGAAAATGCCCAGCCAGATGGATAAGTTTGAATAATTCAACGGAATCATATCTGATGAAGACTTCCCCAAATCACTTCTGTATAGTTGCCAAGGAACATGGGTGTGGAAACATTTGTAATAGCAACAGGAGTTTAATTTGACCCCAAAAAAAGTCTTAACTCCTATTAGCGATTAAGAAATATCCCAGTAGCAATAGGACTGTTATTGTTATACCAGCTCTACAATAGTTGGATAGAAGAACTTATCAAAATCTCTAAGTTTAGCAGTGGATAAATGGTCACAGTAAATACCAGAATATTCACATATGGTCTAATTCATATGTGAATTATCAAAAACAATTGTCCTAAAAAAGAATCCCTCTGACTCATTCACTTCTTACCTCACCTCCTTATCTCACCTTGCAACCATCCACAACTGCAGATGCTATCAGATATTTTTAAAACATGCCACAAACTGTAGCAAAGTAAAACCAAGGGCAGGAATAGAGGCAGCTAGTGCCATGTTTAGTACTGTCTCATTGGCCAACTAGATAAAATATTGGCCATTCTCAAGGAGAAGGTGAAGTTAGGTTAGTGTTGGAAACATGCTACTTGCAGTTGGCATCTGTGTGGAAAGGGCTGTGTTGAAAGTGATAACATGGGTGAGATAATTAGGATGTGATCAATATTGCTTTGAAAAAGATTTATTATATGTCTGCAAAACTTGCATAGTCACCTGGAAAGCCTCTTCAGAAGGAGATTCCAAATTGCAATTTTTAATATGATATATATGTATATGTGTGTATGTGTGTATGCTTTGCCTATTTTGGGGGAATTTTCTCTCGGTATTCATATCCAAAGCTAAATATGGCACTCAGCTGAGAAAAAAGCCTTATGTCCATGCTTTATATGGTTTTGGAATGCAATTCAAAATATAGTTGTTGGAAAACCATTTTCGTTGCCGTACATATAAGATGTGTCAATTTTTTAAAATTAGGTTTTGTTAAGATAACTTTATAGTACACACTGACTACATATTCATGTTAAAAACCATCCCCAAAAAATGAAAGAGATGTCTGGAAAGGCACGCCTTCTCAAAAGAATTTGTATTTCTGTGGATCCCTAAGATAGACTTCTAGACCAACTGTTTTAAAAGTTAACTGGCTTACTTTATTTCAGTATCAAAATTCATTATCATTCTTTCATCTTCAGTAGGTTTGCATATTCATTATTTCATGCTTTTATTTTCAGTAGCTCTGCATAGAATTCTGCTCACCTTAATTTCATTAGAGAATGTAAATATGTTCTATAATTTATCTAGCTAGTAATGACAGGAGGAAAGAAGATGTAACATTTCACTAAGTATTTCAGATTTAAAATTATACCTTCATGATGGCCAAATATTGAATAAGAGTAAAATCTTAAGTACATTTTCATACACAACAGCTTATGCAAGTCAGCACAGACCTTTCCAAGAAATAAACATTATTTAGCAGCAGGAACTGGTCTCTGAATTCCTTCTTTAAGGGAACCCTAGACAGTTCAGTATATTGTGTAATTACAAAATTCAGGTGAAAGAATTTCATAAATGGTGACAGAAAGGGGAAATAATTACAGATGCTGTCAAAGTTCGATTTTGATTGGCAGTCATGGAAAATCTGTGCTTAGAACAAGGAAATGCAACATTTTACAAAGGAAATATGTTATGAAACCTTGACCTGTTTGCTTGTTTTTCCCATAGGAAAAGTCGTATCTTACTGCAAAGGGAACAAAATCTATAAAAAAGAAAAAAATGCCCGATTCCTCAGGTTAGATATCTCTTTCTTTCTCTCAAAACTAACACAAGTGGTATTGTTTTTGCAGCTTTGTGCCCTAGACAAGGAGAGTATGATTTGTCAAATTGAAAAAAGGGTTTTTCACCCCAGGGCATTCTGGGATAAAATTTCTTAACCTTGGCTTTTTGCCCATGGGACTTGTGCCAAGTCTATCCCTCTAGATCAGCTAGTTGTATTTTTCTTGTGCCAGCATTGCATAACCTCATTCCTGTAACTAGATCAGCCATGTTACTTACCAATATTAAAAGCACTGTGTCCCCTTAATTGTCTGTTGCCATAACTTGTTTGCCAAATTTTTGAGAAGTTGTGTTACTCACTGCAAACAGAATCCTTGATTTGAGCTACAATAGGGCTTGTTCCGTAGAACAAAGGAATTACAGTTAATACAACTGACAATATATAATTTATTTTTTTAAATGGCCAAAAATATCAGACAAACATCTGAAAATCTGTTTTCTGAATGAGGACGAACAAATTAACTGTATATTAACTGTAGTGTCCTTTGGAATGGAGTGACCAATAAATTTAAGTAAATAAAATTAAATTAATGAATTTAAAGTTCTGAACCCACATAAAGCTTCCTTTCAGAGTTTTTTTATGGTTCCAAAAATTTTAAAATAGGAAGGATGAAAAGAATACTTTTCTGCCTTCTTTTGCAATTGGTATATATACTATACTATACTAATAAAGTTTATCTGGGGCGTAACTGTACATTTTAGGTGCAACATGTCTGTTATTGAGTTACATTTTCTTCCCTGCTTCCCTGTAACATTTGGGTTGCATTTCTATGCTACTTGGAAGTGATGCTTTCACATGTGGAAAATGAATGGAAACGTTTTAACAGGAGAGCAATGAATAGCAGTGGTCAGAATCCTTCAACTGGAAGCACCCTTGAGTGAGAAGAATATAATCTTTATAATATATTTAGACTCTTAGTGGTTGACTGTTTCACATCAGAAGTGGAAAGTCCCTGACTTTCAAAAGAGAAAAGAAGTTTCTGCAGTGTGAATAACTGAATGATGTTGCATAAGTATTCTTTTCACTTAAATCATTGGTATTTTTTTCTCCTTAGTTCTAGATGGATCTGATGAGAAGTCAGAATCACATTCTCATACAGAAAAGGTCCATAAACTCAACAAGGAGAATACAGGGAAGCCAAACACATTTCTTGTTCAGAGAAATTCCCCCAAATCTTGTGAGTCTAAAGAGTGTGCAGAGAGACGTCATAGCATCAGTTGGAAAAGTTCTCTGCAGAAGACCTCAGGAAAGAGTCCAGTGGAAGTGAATGCAAATGAAGCCAACCAAAGTCAAAATAACCCAGATGCAGAAGGTGATGATCCAGGACTTGTGAAGAAGCATGGTGGATCTCAAGGAAGTCTAGGAAATGTGGTAGAAGATGACAAAAGAAAAGATATTACCAGGGATGAAAAAGCAGGAGTATCAGAAAAAAGATCTCAAAGAAAAAAATCGATAGAAGATGCAGATATCAAGTATGTTTTCAATACCAGACTATCTCCCTTTAGATTTATGGGATCATGCAGTACTTATTGAACTGTAGAAGATGGATTTGTAATACACACACACACACACACACACACACACACACACACACACACACAATCACTTTGGATCATTAGATGAAAGATAATCCACACACAAGAATACACTGTACAACATTTAATTGGTTTTTTTTTTTTTAAAAAAAAACTATTTCCAACATGGAAAAAGACGATTGAGGGGATGAACACAGTAGCTCTGAAACAGTATCAGATGAAACAGTATCAGATGAACAAAGGCAAAAGTCAAAGGGTAACTTATAGATAGATAAATTTTGGTTAAGAATTAAGAGAAATATATGGAATGTGGGGATAGTCTGACAAAGGAATTAATTCCTTGGTGTAATTTTAGATACCCTCTCATTAAAAGCTGTGAAGCAGAAACAGGTTAGCCATGTTCTTATTTTGAATTTCCTGCATTAAACAAGCCTGGACTATTAAGTCTTTACAAACACCTTTTTTGTAGTGTTGACCTTCCGGTCTTGGCATTCTCGGTTAAAAAGAATGCAATATCCAACTTAACACTTTTTTTCTAATTGGCTTGAGTAGATGTTGAAATAATTGTTAGCCTAACAAATCTAACTAACTAACAAGTACAAAACTTGTTCAACATGTTGTAGGATACTTGGTCCAAATGTTGGTCTTGCATTACTTATAATCCTCTCAAGTCTTGGCTTTTATTGTACAAGGAAATTTTTTTTTTGCAATCTCATTGACATAACCTGGAATCAGAAAGACAAAACATGCATAAGAAAACTTCCTGTTGGATTAGGTTGGTTTAGAACTTTTCGACAACAAAGAAAACATTCTTATAGAAATTTTGACAGAATTTTGACAGTTTCTTACAGAAACTAATGAAATTGATAGAAAGACTTAATGTTCCTGTCCATAATGAAATCTAGTAATAACAATAATTTGATAGATGTTGAATTCTAGAGAAGAGAAGAACTATATACCATAGTCTAAAGTTTTGGACGGAAATGGAATGGTTCTATTCAACCAAAACCATCTCCCTCAAAAATATTCTGTAAGTTAGATGGGAATCCATAATATGTTGTGCACATATATAATGAAGAACCCAACATATTATAGAAGCTTATGAGGTAATGGTAATGGCCTGCTGCCTAAGTTCCTAATTTAGCTGGAAGGGGATTTGTCTCATATATCCACAAGACTTATTCCTGTTCTAATATTCTGCCATTTTGTTGGCAGTGAAAAAATAGTCCTCAGGTTATGACAGCAATTGGGACTGGAATTGCTATCACTAAATGATGGGCAATGTGATGACATGTGATCACATTACTTAGCAACCACAATCCTGGCACTCCCAGTTGCCATTGCCAGGAAACAGAGCGCCTCAGATAAGAAGCCCAGAAGTGCCACAGAGGACTTCTCTGGGAAGGCCGGGGGATATCTTGGGAGGCCCAACACAGGTCACACAAGAATGCACAAAATCTGGGGAATGAGGATATAAATTTATGTGCCACCCAGAATTGCTTCAACAGTGACATGGGCAGCATATAAATTTAATATATAAATAAAATAAATAAATGCAAGAAGGCAGGCGATGAGCAGTGCAGTGTTACCAGAGTCACCTGTGACCTTCCCTGCTGGCTTTCCCATTTCCTTGTGGGAAACCATCACAGATGGTAATCACATGAAGTGAGACGCTGCACCTGTTGTAAGTGCAAGACAGTTGCCAAGCTTGCCAGGGCTGGTGATAACTACCACTTGTTCAAGCAATCGCTGAACAAGTGGTCGTTAACTGAAAACCAGCTGTACCAATTCCCCACATAAATGAGGATTTATGCTTCAGTCTTTCATGTCCTGGTTACCTCCTGTATAGATGACTATAATGTGCTCTCAATGGAGCTGCCCTTGAAGAACATTTGGAAGCTTCAGTAGTGCAAATTCAGCAGCAAGGGTAATTATGTTGACAGATAGGGCTGCACATGTTATATCTCTGCTCTGCACACTACCTCAGCTACCACGTTACTTCCAGGTTCAATTCAAGGTGATGGATAACCTATAAAGTCCCACATGACATGTGTCCAGGCTATTTGAGGGACTGACTCTCCCCAATTACATTTACTTGTCCCATCAAGACCAACAGAAGAGGCATGACATGGGATCCACCTACAAAGGAATGCCATCTGATGGAGGCCAGGAGGGTAGCCTTTTCTTTCATTGCACCCACCCTATAAAACATCATTCCCCCGGGCCTGGAGGTCAGATTGGCTGCACCTTTGCTGGCCTTCCAAAACAGCCTGAAGACATGGCTTTACCGTCATGCCTGGGGAATCAGATACTGTAATGATGGTGCAAAACTCATAAAACTATTATTGTTAACCTAAGTTGACTATTTTTTTCCCTTTTGATTGTATTGTATAGTTTAATTGTTTTAAATGTTTGCAGGATTGTTGTTTTAGTTGTCTGGTACTGTTTGTGTTTTAATCTTGTAAACCGCCCAGAATCAAGTATGTGAGATGGGCAGCTCAATAAATTGAATGAATGAATGAATGAATGATAAAATAACAAAATATGTATTCATTTATAAACCATGAACTCTAAAAACAAATGCTTCTGATCATTTGGACTGTTTATATTTCTCCATAACTCTTCCAGAGTTGACACTAGAATAATCTACATCTTCTCATCTAGGCATAAAGGAAATGAAAAAGCTTCATTCTTTCTGAAAGATGAGCAAGCCAGCAGCAGCAAGCGTCGCGTAAACGAGGGAAGTTTTCTCAAAGATGTCAACAAAAAGAGCAGAGTGTTTGTAGTGAAGGCCAGCGGTGGACTTAAACCAAAAGAAGCAGCTAAGCCAAAAACAACAGAACTTGTCTTACCTGGAAAAACAGTTGCATCTAAATCAACAGCTGCCAACAAGAACAAAGTGAAGCAAGAAGCTTCAAAGGGAGATAATTTTATAATTGGTACAACTTAGCTTTTAAAATATATAAAATAATATACTAATTGCAAGCAAAACAAATGCATTGTCTACATTTCATTGTCTACATTCTTCTGTTAACAGAAGAATTAACATTTGGATTGTTAGCTATACCAGCTGAAAATCCCATCTGAGAATGAGAAAACATAAGTTTTAGTGCTACCTGTTCTTTTGTCTGTTCTAGCCATTAATTTTTTTATTGATTTATTTGATTGCCAGATTATAAGGTTTGGGCTTTGCTAGACGCACAGAAATAGAAGCAAGTTGTTTTAATATTAAATTAAATTTTACTTAAATGTGCCACCAAGTTGTTTCAGCTCCTATTGACAACACAGATAGATTTTCTCCATGACAATTTATTCCTAACCTATTCTTACATGTCTCCCAAAGATGCACCATTTGCTACTGAAACGGAATCTATCCACCTTATTGTTTGTCCTCTTTCTTTCCGTGTTTTCCAGCATTACAGTCTTTTCTAGAGAGCTGGGCTTCGCATAATGAGTCTGAAATAGGATAATTTGAAGCTGGTCATTTGTGCTTCGAGTGAGAGCTCTGGATTGATTTGTTTGATGATCCATTGATTTCTTCTCTTGGCTGTCAGCAGTATTCTCAGGAGTCTTCTCCAACACCAAAAGTTCAAAAATGTCAATTCCTTTCCAATCCTGCTTCTTTAAAGTCCAACTTTCACTTCCATGCAGTGTCCCAGGAATAAGATCGCTCACACAGTTGTCATTGTTGTAGGCATAGGGACTTCATAGCATTTGAGTATATTTTCCAAGGCCTTCATGGCTCCTCTATCAAGTGCTCTCTGAAACTCTTTAAGTTTCTTCCTGATATTTTTGTCTTCCTTGGCTTTGGCTTCTCTTTTCTTGGTAGTTTCCAGTTTGCTTTTTTCTCTTCATTTTTTTGCACTTTCTTTTCACATTCACCTTCAACCATTTCTTTAAGTTCATTTGTAATTCCTCTGGGTCTTTAATCATTGAGGCTCAGTACTTCAGTGTGATTTCTGATATTTTCCTTGAAGATGGAACTGTGTGACTTTGGGCCAGTCACTCTTTCTCAGCCTGAATCACCCCAGGAGATTATTGTTTCGGGGAAAATAGAAAAGAGCAGTAATTAGGTATGTTTACTGCCTTATTTATAAAGTAATAAAGGCAAGATAGAGATAAAATAAGGGATGCGGTGGCTCAGTGGCTAAGATGATAAGCTTATCAATCAAAAGGTCAGCAGTTCAGCGGTTCGAATCCCTAGTGCCGCGTAATGGGGTGAGCTTCCATTACTTGTCCCAGCTTCTACCAACCTAGCAGTTCGAAAGCAATTTAGCTCCCTGCTTCCTTTTAGCAATAATATTGTTACTTTGATTTCTGTATACTTCATCTGGTGATACCCATTTATAGAGGCATGATTTTAATTGTTTCAACACAGTATTAGCTATGAAGATTTCATTGGAGCCTTGGAGATTGGAGCATAAACTTAAAAGATCATCATATTAAGGGATTGCCCGTGAAGTCTAATCGATACTATCATTGATTACATTGTAACGAAATACAATTCTTACTATGCTCTTCCTAATTATAAAAGCAAAGTTGTTTCTTCTTGTTTTTCATGTCCTTAAGACTAAAAAGTATGGTTTTCTGACTGAAAGTATCCAATCCATTTTGACTTCCTGATACCTAAGGTGTCAATTTATAGTTGTTTCATTTCATCTTTTCCATGTTCATGCTTCTTGGATACAATGAAGGTTGGCTTTATTAAGATGAATAGGTAGTTCTCTGTAGCCTGCAACCGTATTACAAGCCTGTATTTCTATGTCATCAACATGATCTTTTTCAAATTTTCAAACTGTTGCAAAGTTCTTTTAGGACCCACCAAGTCAGAATCAACCACAATAGAATTTGAGGGAGCCTGTTCCAAGCCAGATCTTGAGATTTCCAGAAAACAATGTATCTTTTGAATGGTCAAAATGAAAGCTGCCATGCAACAACAATGCACAGGACTAAGATCCCAAAGAAGGGAAAACAGAGATTTGAAGTTTCTCATTATATTTAATACCTGAACGAAAACTGAAAAGGCACACAAAATAATTTTGAGATAGCAGGATAGGATCTGAGTGATGGTGAGTTCTAATCCCGCTTTAGGCAGAAACCCAACTGGATGACCTTGGGCAATCACTCTCTTTCAGCTCTAGGAAGCAGGCAATAGCCAACTACTTCTGAAATCTTATCCAGGCAGTTGCCAGCAATCAAACCTTACCTCAAAGGGATGCATACCCACCCACATAAACATGAGTGTCTCTCAATTATTAGTTCATATTGGATGTGGCATTTTGTGTTTATTATTTACAGATAACATACCGTCAACGCCTGCTCCTTTTGACCACAAGATGATCAAAGCAAAAGGAGCTGGGATTGGTAGCTTTTATCAAATCTTCAAGAACGAACTTTTGGGAGGGTAAGTTGAACCAAAATTATAGTTCATTCAATGCAGAATCTCTTAAAATAATCAGACCTATCCCTGGATACTTTCCTAGATTATTATAGTGCAAATTAAATAGTAGTGTAATTTGGATGAAGCAATAAACTAGCCATCCTAGTCCAAAATAACAATGGCTTACATATTGTAAATGGATGACTGAACAGAAAGTTGATGGTTTCTGGACCTGGATTATTCTGGTGGTCTTCCAATTCAAGAAGTCCTTCCGATTACCAATTAATTCACAATTCAAATAAGTGGTCTATCGTATCCTATCCTAAAAATGAACAAGTTTTCTAAATTCTACCTCAGAGCAGGGGTGAAATCTAGCAGGTTCTGATAGGTTCTGGAGAACCGGTAGCGGAAATTTTGAGCAGTTCGGAGAACCAGCAAATGCCACCTCTGGCTGGCCCCAGAGTGGGGTGGGAATGAAGATTTTACAATATCCTTCCCCTGGAGTGGGGGTGGGAATGGAGATTTTGCAGTATCCTTCCCCTGCCACTCCCACCAAGCCACACCATGCCCACCAAGCCACGCCCATAGAACTGGTAGTAAAAAAAATGGATTTCACCACTGCCTCAGAGTATGACACTTTCACAAGAAGGTATGCTGGGAACTTCAGAAAGTCTGCTGGTATTAAAGCTCTATTTTGTCCAGCACCCCATTTACTGAAGCGACCAGTCAGAAACCATTGGCCAAGGCCATGGGCATTTTATTTTTCTTGCTTCTCTTCTGGAAATAGGAGCAATCATGTTGATCTCCTAAATCTTTTATTATAATGTTTTAACAAGTATTTAAGATCAGTCCTGCAGGATCAGGGCAACTGATCCTGATTCTCCTAATCCTAGGACTGTTGTAACTTCAAAATAAATGAAATGAAAAGTCACCTGAGACCTGAATTCAATTATGCTTTTTTTCCTTTCTCTAGTGGACGATTTGGCCAGGTGCATAAATGTGAAGAAAAGGAGACAGGTCTCAAATTAGCAGCCAAAATTATAAAAGCCAGGAGCTTAAAGGAAAAAGTAAGTGGGGTTTGAATAATAGCTTAGAACAGGGATGTCAAACTCGCGTCATCACAGCAGCATCACATGACATATTGGGACTTTTTTCCCCCCTTAACTAAACTGGGTGTGGGTATGGCTAGTGCATGATGCATCTGGCCCATGGGCTGCAAGTTTGACAGCCCTGCCTTAGAGCAATCTGTGGGCTTTGTTATCTAGTGACTTGGTTTCACCTGGACAAACTTTTCCTGATGAACTCTCATTGGCTTTTTGTGTGATATAAAGATCTTAGCTATTTGTACAAAGAGCAGCCTTTGAAATCTCCACTTCAATCTCTCTCCCCCCTCCCCACATCAAATTAGGTAATCTATAAAGCAGAGGTCACAAATCAAGGTTGTTTATTGTAATTTCTTTCACATTATTATTTTAAGAAGAAAATCTTACTCTCTTTTCTCAGCTTTTGCTCATTTCTCCAACAACAATTTACTCTGCTTCATTGCAGAGTACCTCAACACTCTGCTTTGGAATTGAAAGTTAAGCATACCCAATACTTGGGTGGGAAGCCATATAGGAATACCATGCTATAGAGTAGATTTAAGTAGTAAAAAAACAAAAACTCGGAAGGCAGAAATGGCAAGCCAGATCTACATTGTTGTCAAGGGGGAAAAAAGCAAATGTCCCCATGAGATTTTTAGGAGTTATTTCAAGTTGAAAGAGACTAACCGATCTTAGGTGAGCCACAATTGTAATTCTCCATTATTCGGGAAACTTAATCCTATTCTTAGGAACTAGGGAAGAACAGAAACCCAAAAGATTGATTCTTCTCCTAGATATGGTATTGCATTTTAGATTAGAAGAAATTGCATATGCTCAAAAGATCAGCCTGCTGCAGAACACAGAATCTCTCTCTCCCTCCCTCCCCCTCCCTCCCTCCTTCCCTCTCTCTCATCATCTCTCTAAGCAAGCAAGCCCAGGATTTACCATATTTTTGGGAATATAAGACACCCTGGACTATAAGACGCACCTACCTTTTTTGGTGAGGAAAACAAGAAAAAGAAATCTGCATCAGCATCTGCCTCCCAGCAATTTTGCCTTGTTACAGCAAACAGCAAACAGCCTGCTTTAGTTTCATTTTCTTCAGCATAGCTTGATTAGCACAAGTAAAAAAAATCTGCTCCCAGCAATTTACCTCCTTGCAGCAAGCAGCAGAGGCCCCGTGCAAAACAGCTGAGAGTCGGGAGGCCAATGGACAATCAACTTGTGCTAATTAGGCTGTGCTGAACTGAAATGGGCTGTTTCTTCTTGCTGCTTGCTGCAAGGAGGTAAATTGTTGGGAGGCAGAGGCCATAGGGTGGGGGCCAGTGGGTGGGTGGGGCTACATGCGACGCACCCAAATTTTCACCCCCTTTTAGGGGGGGAAGGTGCGTCTTATACTCTGAAAAATATGGTAACTCATACCTTTGTCTCCTGCTATTTCCTGTAAAGACCTTAAGATATTTTTTTTCATCCTTGGACACACCTCAACTGCTTTCTCTAGTCTTTTTCTTGAACAGCATTCAGCTTGCCAGTTTAACCATTATAGAGAGTTCACCTGAGCAACAATATAAAGTAGGTTTCTTTTGGGTTTTTTCTAGAGTAGTTCAAAGTACTTCTACCTCAGCAGACGAAGCAGAAGTAATTTCTACCTGAGTAGAGACCTAAAGAACGACAGTCATGACGTCTTCTGAATTGCAGTGGCTCTAGAAATCTTGAAATCTTAGGCAGAAATATTTGCTATGACTTCTGCTCTCTGATCTGTAACCTCATAAGGTCAGAGTTAGCAGTGAAGACTTGGGCAAAGCATTCATTTTGTTGCCATGCGTAATTTGGAGCCACCAAATAAATTTAGATAAAACCTGATCTGTCTATTATGAACGTTGGTGGTGAATATTTCACCAACTTTGGGATCGCATTGCATTGGAAAAAGGTGCTAAGAGGCCATCAAGATTTTTGCTACATTCTCCTCAAATGTAACAACGTTCTTTTTTTCTTTGCAGGATGAAGTGAAGAATGAGATTAATATCATGAATCAATTGACTCACATGAACATCATTCAGCTGTATGATGCTTTTGAATCAAAAAATGATGTTGTCCTTATTATGGAATAGTATGTATCAATCAGATGCTTGTTCTGCTTATCATTCTTAGCTGTGTCTGGAACCAAAGCCTTTAATGTGATTCTCCTCATTCCTTACTCAGTCAACAGTATGCTAAACCCAGCAATTGTAGTTATCTTTTATGGGAATGTAGAGGATATAGACATCCTCTATAGTTAACATAGCTGGTCAGTTCCAATCTACATCTTCCATCTTCCTTTGACATACATAACTTGGAGCAGGCTTATAAAGATTATATAGTGCAGAACAGAAGTAAGTTCTGGGGAGAAAAAAAATCTTCTAATTCACATTTAGGAAATTGCTTTATTGGAATCAATGTCCTCGCTTTGCAGAGATTTACATATTCATAATTTGAAACCATACAGAGGTTGAATCAACTTCTCTTTGCCTATGGATGTATTGAAACATGCAATTTGATTGGGTTATTTGCATTTTTATGTGCAACTTTACAAGGAGAGGGTATCCTGAAAAGGGGGAGGGGAAGTTGGAAGTATGAACTAGATTGGCAACATTTTCAGTGAAATGTGCTTAGAGTTATCAGGGATTTAATTTTGCATATAAAGCATGTGCATTACTATTGAAGTATACCATTAATGCATTAGAGGGTCATATTCTTAAAGCAGTCATCTCTTTTCCTCTCTGTCTCTGCTTGAAGAATATTAAGGGAAACCTCATTATTTGGAGAATAAATGCCATACTTAGATTTCTGTAAATCCATGATTTACAGTAATTGTTTACTCACTGAAAACCGTATATATATCTATGACAAATCTCTTGACATTCACCTCTTGATGTTCTTCACCTTCAAAAAACCATAAGGCTGTTGACACTTTGTTTTGGAATTACTATCAAATACTATATTCTAAATCATTTAATAACCAAGTCCTGAAAGGTTCATTGCAGTTTCTTTGTTTTGTACATAACCCAATATATGAGGAGGGTCTATGTACATTGTCACCTGGGAAGCACACATTTCTGACCAGCCTTCCCCAATTCTAGTTTTCCTTATAATCCTAGAAAATATGGACATGTGGAGCATGCCAGGTTGGAGAATATTGTTCTTGAATGTAAAATTTTCAGCACATTGAATTACCAATTAAGCCCAGGGGTGAAATCTAGCAGGTTCTGACAGGTTCTAGAGAACCGGTAGCGGAAATTTTGAGCAGTTTAGAGAACCGGCAAATACCACCTCTGGCTGGTCCCAGAGTAGAGTGGGAACAGAGATTTTGCAATATCCTTCCCCTAGAAGTGGGGTGGGAATAGAGATTTTGCAGTATCCTGTCCCTGCCACGCCCACCAAGCCACGTCCACAGAACCGGTAGTAAAAAAATTTGGATTTCACCACTGATTAAGCCTATCTGTCTCTCTTTTCAGTGTGGAAGGAGGAGAACTGTTTGATCGGATTCTTGATGAGAACTCCAACTTGACAGAGATGGATGCCATCTTATTCATAAAGCAAATCTGTGAAGGGATTCAGCACATGCATCAAATGTATATTCTCCATTTGGACTTGAAGGTTCTGTGCATTTGTTTTACTTCCTATGCAAAAAAAAATGTATATACTAGACTGAACATCTTAGAACTCAGTATTATAACTGCAGTTAGTGGCCCTTTTTGATTTGGAGTTCTGAGTATCATAAATAGGCTCAACTTTCAGAAGAGCATATGACGGCCGTAGCCAGGAGGACTTTTTATCAGGTTCGCCTGATTCGCCAGTTGCATCCCTTTCTGGATCGGGACTCGTTACGCACGGTCACTCACGCCCTTGTCACCTCACGCCTGAATTATTGTAATGCTCTCTACATGGGGCTCCCCTTGAGAAGCACCCGAAGGCTCCAACTGGTCCAGAATGCGGCCACGTGGGTGGTAATGGGAGCAATGTGGCGCTCTCATGTAACCCCCCTCCTGCGCGAGCTGCACTGGCTCCCAGTGGTCTTCCGGGTGTGCTTCAAGGTTTTGGTTACTATCTTTAGAGCGCTCCATGGCTCAGGACCAGGGTACTTACGAGACCGCCTCCTGCCACCAATAGCCTCTCACCGACCAGTTCGCTCCCATAGAGAGGGACTCCTCAGGGTGCCGTCGGCCAAACAATGTCGACTGACGGCCCCCAGGGGGAGAGCCTTTTCTGTGGGGGCACCTACCATCTGGAACGGGCTTCCCCCGGAGTTACGAAACATCCAAGACTTACGCATATTTCGCCGTGCCCTGAAAACATTTCTATTCCAACAAGCTGGTCTGGCCTAACTCTCCCTTTTTAATTGGCTTTTAAACTGGCTTTTAAATTGGGTTTTAAACCTCTTTAGATAAATTTGGATGTTTTTAATCTTTGAGCCTAAATTACTTAATCTGTTTCTTAATAGTTTTTAACTTCTATATGTATTTGTATTTATTATGGCTGTTCACCGCCCTGAGTCCTTCGGGAGTAGGGCGGTATACAAATATGATAAATAAATAAATAAATAAATAAATAAATAAATAAATAAATAAATAAATAAATAAATAAATAAATAAATAAATAAATAAATAAATAAATAATAGAAGCATATTAGGAGCAGGGATAGAAATGAGAACCCAGATTGTCCTTTATCCTTAGACCTTGTAGGCAATGGGTAGAGAACATCTACTCAGGTTGAGGACTATTGTTTTAGCAGTAATCCATCACATTTCAGTGAATCAGAAGAAGATCCAAGGGTAGGGCAGGGCTGCTGGGGGTTTGCAGAGGTTTGGGAGAACCTCTAGCTAAGATTCTGTGCAGTTCGGAGAGCCCTCAAATCCCACTCCTGGCTGACCCCTCCCATCCTGACCCATCCATCCCAGGAGTCCCCATGCTGCTTGTTTTGGATGCAAGTAAATGCAGGGCATGCATGGAGACTTGGGAAGGGCGAAAAATTGGCCTACAGAAGTTCGGGAAGGGAAGTCCAGAGAGCCTCTGAAGCCTGGGGAGGCCGTTTTCGCCCTCCCAAAGGCTCGAGGAAAGCCTCAGGAGCCCAGGGAGGGCAAAAACGCCACCCCCACCCCCTATGGTGCAGGAGACCAACTAGGCCACACCCACCATGGCCACACTCACCCAGCAACCGGACAGAGAACCCCTTGCTAAAATTTTTGAAGCCCACCCTGTCCAACTAAGCAACTAAAATGATCCATCCTCTTGTAAGATCGATTGCACTGGGGAACAACTTTTCTGTTTCCTATTTGCTGTGATTGCAGTACACTGTCTTCCAGCATGCCATGATGTTGAAAAGCAGAGTGAAGTTCAAATGCTAGGGAACTTGAATCTTCTCTCTGCTCTGCAGTATTCCTTCCTTTCTTGATATGGACAGCTGAAAAGGATAGTTGTTAATATTAAGGAAATAACTATTCCTTTATAGCCTAAATTCTTAAGGCAAGGAATTAAGTGAATGGATATAGAAAAGAATACTTTATTTAGCCAAGTGTGATTAGACACACAAGGAATTTGTCTCCGGTACAGAAGTTCTGAGTGCACATGTAAAACAACAGAGTAATAATAATGATAATAATGATACCAATAAGAGGGGTGGTAAAGAAGACGAGAAGGATAATAATAATACAACAGCCATACAACATGGATATTATACTTAGACGTAAGATAGTACTGTGAGAATAAAGGTTTCAGCAGAGTGATGGCACGAGGGAAAAAACTCTCCTGTGTCTAGTTGTTTTGGCATGCAATGCCCTATAGTGGCATCCTGAGGGGATTAGTTGAAACAGTTTATGTTCAGGATATGAGGGGTCAGTAGCAATAGCAATAGCACTTAGGCTTATATACCACTTTACAGCCCTCTCTAAGTGGTTTACAGAGTCAGCATATTTCCCCCAACAATTTGGGTCCTAATTTTACTGACCTCGGATGGATGGAAGGCTGAGTCAACTTTGAACCTGGTGAGATTTGAACTGCCAAACTGCAGGCAGCTGGCAGGCAGCAGAAGTACTGCACTCTAACCACTGCGCCACCGTGGCTCATTTCCTCAGCCCTTCGTCTGACCTGCTCAATATGCAGATTTTCCATGGAAGTCAGGCTGGTTGCAACGTTTTTTTCTGCAGTCCGAACTCTTCATTGAAGCCTGTACTTGTCCTGTTTGGTTGCTGTACCAAGCAGACAGTTATAGAAATACAAATGACTTCCTCAATAATTCCTGTAATAATTCCTGTATCAACATTTCTTGGGGCAGTCTGAACTGAGTTGATTCAAGAAGAGCATTTGTTTGTTGAGCCTTTTTAATGATGGTTCTAATGACATTTCTAATCCTTTGGGAGATTATAGAACCCCAAAACTTGGGGACCTCTACTGATGTTGATAGTATCAGGCAGAAGTTCTATCACCATTTTATAAATAATGAGAATTTAACAGGCATACATTTGATGGCGAGGCTGTAGCAGTGTCAAACTGTACTCTCCATTGAATTAAGAACTGCCTCTGAAGTTATCTTCCTCTAGGAAGAGCAGCTATTGAGCCTTGTTGCATTCTGTATGTTTTATTTATTTAGGCTTCCAGCGCCTTGGTTGTCTCTAAACTAGAGCCATGTATTTGGCTACTTAGCTTGCTGAATGTGATCCCAAATAATTGAATAACCTGGTGAGAGTGAATGCATATTATGTTACTTGAACGTCACTCTGTTTTCAGTTCTATAACACTAAAACCATTAGGAAAAACTCAGTTGCCTCTGGCCAAAGGAAAATCTAATTTTTGTTCATGCCAAACCTCTGTTTGCAAAAACCACCAAGTCTGGATTCGAAGAAAGACAATATCAATTTTTCCTTTTTGTTGATACTTATTTCATTGGATAAAGTAGTTTTTAATTACCAATTTGCTTAATAGAGTACCAATTTGTTACATTACCTAGTTATATATTTTTATCAGATGTTGGAATATTTAGTTTTATGAGTGTAACTGAATGAAAATCTGATTAATTCTGTATTTTATCTGGTTTGGGGATTCAGCCCAAATCAGATAAAATTTACTTTGGAATATTTCTATGACATAGATGTTCATGATTTATTTTTCTTTAAATATTTGTAAAAGTGCGAGGGGGGTTGTTTGAAGGCTGACATCACACAAGAAACTGATGTTCAGCTAAACTTGTAAGTTACATTTGAAAGTTTGAGTCCATCATTAATCTAGGAAGCAGAACCAATGAAACCAACATTTGAATAATTTAACTGTTTACCTGTAATAGCTTTTTATCACCTATATTAGTTAATAGTTCATTTCTGGACAGTCCACAAATTTGCCTGGTGTTAATCAGTCAGATATTGGCTTGTTGAAGAATAAACTTAAGAAGTTCAACTACACAGAAAAGTATTAAAGCAATGTTTTCTGAAATACCCCAATATCAGTACACAATGGGCTGCAAATTACAGTTCCTGACTTTCTGAAACCAGCCAGAGTGCTTTCATTTCCTTTCTGAAAGCTCACTAATGAATTCTTTATCTCAAATTTCTGTATTCTGTCAAACAGAAAGGCCACCACAAGGGAAATGCTGCCCTGGTGGAGTGTTCCCAGCCTCAAATACCACATGATTATAGTTTGATGTATCCACAGAGTCTAACCTGCTATAAAACACCAGCACCCAGATGTGTATTTTTATGCTCTGGTGTATTTTTAACACTGATCCCAGAGCATTTCTTTCACCATTTCTCATAAATGTGCATTTTTCTTCTTTTCTTCTGACAGCCTGAGAATATCTTGTGTGTGAATAGAGAGGAATATCAAATAAAGATTATTGACTTTGGGCTGGCAAGAAGGTATGTTCTTTTAATCTAATAGTCAGCATTTCTCATTTTTCTCAACTGGGGATATTTCAGTTCGATGTCATGTTTTTGGGATAAACAAGATTAAATAAGAATTGAACTGTCATTAGTCTATTAGAAAAGGGTTGACCTTGGATAGCATTGCTCTAGTTTAGATACTGCAGGACTTGGGATCTGAAATTTTCATAGAAAAGTTCTGTGTGTTATTATTTCTTCTGTCATTTTTTTTAATCAGTTCAAAGAATTAGCCAGTGAATTCTGTTCTTACTGGAGTGGGAAGAGGTCTGGTACAATAAACAGTGACAGATGTTCTAAGGAGGCCAAAATCATGGGTAAAAGTCATCAAAGTGAGCCTTTCATTCTAAAAGCCTTCAGCACTTTCAAGTGGCACTTATTTAACATCATAAGTTAAATCTTAAGCCCTTCTTAAGAGGCCATCCTTAGACCCCAACAGTATTAGAGAACATTCATCCAGTCTCCAACCTTCTCCCTTAGGGAAGGTTGTTGAGAACTTGTTTGGCTCTCAATTACAAAGAACCGAGGAATGAAGTAAATTTTCCGGACCTTTTCAATCTGAGTTCAGGATATGACACAGTACTGAAATAACTGGTCACATTTGTTCATGACTTCTGGAGGGAAGGGAATCACAATGGTGCAACCATTCTGACCCTCCTGGATTTCTCAACAACCTTTGGTACTATCCACCATGGTATCCTCCCTCTAACTTCTCCCATCAATAAAAAAAAATCTGACAAATAACCTGATCAGATTCTCCTTCTTAGATACTTGACTACTTGGAAAATTAGAATTCCTAGCTAGGAAAATTGTTGAATTATTATCATGTGCTATAAAAGCCATATTGGCTGCTACTGTTTCCCATATATATATATATATATATTCTGTTTTATTTCTTAGATACAAACCAAGGGAAAAACTTAAGGTCAACTTTGGCACTCCAGAATTTCTTGCTCCTGAAGTTGTGAACTATGATTTTGTTTCTTTTCCTACTGATATGTGGAGTATTGGTGTCATTGCCTACATGTTGTAAGTTGAACTAAAGTCGAAGTATTGTGATTGTGAGTGCTTCCAGATGAAATTTTTATTGTGCAGTCACATAATTTTATTGGGTCATAGAATTTTATTGGATGAGGATAGATAATGATAATGGCCATTTTCGTTCTTTACTTTTAAATTTTATTATACGCCCTTCTTACCACACTGTAACTCTCGGCAGCTTACAATACTAAAAGATAAAACAGTATAAAATCAAATAAGGTAAGAACAATACTATAAAAAAAATCAAGCTAACTAAAAAGATGGGGAGGGAGGGAATATGATGAGAAGGGAAGGGGGTGGGATCTGTTGTTAATCAACCACCCCAATATGAAACCCTTCAGTTGGAGCCCCAAGCGAACTGACAGAGCCGGGACTTTAAGCTATTATGGAAGATAAAGAGGGTTAGAGCTGACCTCTCTCCAGCAGGGAGCGTAAAATGTTCCAAAAGGACTCACATTTTCTGAGAACATCTTCCATTATGACATATAGTAGAGAATCTACTCTATATTTTTCTCTATATTTAGAGAAAAAAATTGATGGCATAATACTTTGTGATTGATAACATAGTCTTCCCATCTGGAATATCCTTAGGTTTCTTTTTGTGTCGAGTTCATGCAGTTCAAAAAAGCCATGGTGGACTTCTTGGACTAACTCTTTTTAACAAATTAACAGAGTTGGAAAGGACTTATAGGTCATCTAGTCCAACCCCCTGCTCAAGCAGGAGACCCTACACCATTTCTGACAAATGGCAGTCCAATCTTTTCTTGAAAGTTTCAAGTGATGAAACTCCCACAACTTCCGAAGGCAAGCTGTTCCATTGGTTGATTGTTCTCACTGTCAGAAAGTTCCTCCTCATTTCTAGGTTGAATCTCTCCTTGGTCAGTTTCCGTCCATTATTCCTTGTCTGGCCTTCAGGTGCTTTGGAAAACAGCTTGACCTCCTCCTCTCTGTGGCAGCCCCTCAAGTATTGGAACACTGATATCATGTCTCCCCTGGTCCTTCTTTTTAGACTAGCCATGCCCAGTTCATGTAACCGTTCTTCATATGTTTTAGTCTCCAGTCTCCTAATCATCTTGGTTGCTCTCCTGTGCACTTTTTCTAGAGTCTCAACTCAAATATCATGAAATAATTTATAAAGATTTTAGCTTGTGATGCTTGATTGTAAAGAGCAGAAGAGGGGGAAAAAATGACTGATGTTGAAGTTAAAATCACAGTCTTTAGTGCTACGCTGATGACATTACTGTGACAACTGAAAATGCAAAAGATCTGCAGCCTCTAGTAATGAAAGGCAAGGAGCACAGTGAAAAATGTGACTAAGATTAAATAGAAAGAAGAGCAAACTAATAACAACAGATACAGCAGGGGGTTGGAGTTGAAATGAAGATATGGTGATCGTTTATGACTTTTTGAGATCTACAATCAACCATAAAATAAATCAAGAAATACACTGCAAACTAGCATTTGATAGAATAGGAATGAAGACCTTGTAAAACAAATTCAAATGCCATGATGTGTCTATAAAGACCATAATCATGCAAGCTATCACATTGCCTGTGACACTATAGAAGCAAAAAAATTAAAAGTAGAAGCAGTACAGAATTATGCTTTTGAACGTTGGTATTGGAGAAGACTCCTGATAATGCCATGGATAGTCAACAAAACCCTGTCATGCAGAGAAAGTATGTTGCAGTCCATGTCAGTAGAAGAATCCCAACTGGCAGGGTCCAGGAAGACAACCTTCTCTTCTGCTGTCCCCTCCTTGTGGAATATTTACACCCCCACGAATGTGAGGCAGGCCTCTCTCTCATGGCCTTCTGGAAAGGAGTTAAACCTCACGTGGGGAACCCAGAAAGGCACGTGGTTATGGGGCTGGTTCGGTACTCTGAGAAAGCTCCATTCACCTTTTAACTACTTTTTTTAACAGAGATCAATCAACCTTGCCTCCTTTTAGATTCTATTCCTTTAAAAAAATAATTATTATATACTGTTTTTATATGTTAACATTTTTATTGTACACCATCTAGAATCCCTCTCTGGGGGAGATGTGCAGTTCAGAAATGTTATTTTATGCTTAATGAGCATGTTTTTTTTCTTCCTATAGGATTACTGGATTATCTCCTTTTCTGGGTGATGATGATAATGAGACTTTGAATAACATCCTGGCTTGTAGCTGGGACTTTGAAGATGAAGAATTTAAAAATGTATCTGAAGAAGCCAAAGATTTCATCTCTAAGCTTCTTATCAAAGAAAAATGGTAATTACACACCTATAATGTTTTGCTTTTAATATGTTGTCTGCTCAGTTCTATTAGAAATGCACAAAAATAATAATCATGTTTGACAGAATTACATAAAGACTACTAAAATGAACAAGAAATAAAACAAATTCATGAAATGCCAAAAATGAAAATTCTTTGTATTTTATTAAATGGTTATTTAGGATAAGGCACATATTAATAGTTACATACTAGTTACATAATATTACTCAGTTATTTTTTTATTAATAAACCTGAAGGATAACCATGTTAGTGATGATGATGATTGAATTGGCCCAAAGAGGAAGAATAGGAACGCCATAAAAGCTACAAAGTTCTAAGGAAAAGAAATTGCACAAATCACTCACTAGGATTAGGTAGTCCTTAACTTACAACCATTTGCTTAGCGCCCATTTGAAGTTATAACGGCACTGAAAAAAGTGACTTACAACTGATTCTCAGGCTTGCAAGTATCGCAGCATTCCCAGAGTCATGGATCAAAATTCAGGCACTTGCCATGTATTCACAATGATTACAGCATCTTGGGGTCATGTGATTGCAATTTGCGATCTTCCTAGCTGACTTCTGACAAGCAAAATCAATGGGGGAACCCAGATTTGCATAATGACTCTGTGATTCACTTGGGAAAAAAGGTTGCAAAGTTAGGCATGTCTCATTTAACAACTGTCTTACTTGGCAATGGAAATTCTGGTCCCAATTGTGGTTGTATAGAAATCAGAAGATGGCACCATTTCCATGGATGAAAATTATCCTAGATCAGGGGTGTCAAATCCACTCGCATCACGGGCTGTATCATGATGTATCACAATGTTTTTTGCCTTTTTGAAGCTGGGGTGGGTGCGGCCTGTGTGGGCCAAATCCGGCCTGCAGGCTGCCAGTTTGACAGGCCTGACCTAGATGGACTAAATTACATACATATCCTGAAATGAAGACTTGTATGGTCAGTTTTCATCCAGAATGAAATTGGCCAGCTTACTAATGAAGAACTTGAATAATGAACCTATACTTTTGCCATAAATGATAAACTTAAGAACACCATTCAAATCTCAAGCTAAAGCTGTCTGTTGCTGTTACCCCTGTTACCTTAAAACACCAACACACAAGCAAATATCAGACTTAAGTATTTACAAATTCCTGCATACTTATCACATGATAACCTTGTTCTTTTCTGTTTAGCTGGAGAATAAGTGCAGGTGCAGCTTTAAAACATCCTTGGTTGTCCAACCAAACACTCCATTGCAAACTGGAAGCTAAGGTCTGTAGATCTGATCAAAATTATTTTTCTTTTATCTCTTAATCTTTTTGTATGAAGATGTGCTTATTAATTAGACTGATCACTATACATTAGTCTCCTATTCATTTCTACTACCATGTTTCCCCGAAAATAAGACTGTATCTTACATTTTTTTGAACCCCGAAATAAGCGCTTGGCCTTATTTTCGGGGAGGTCCTATTATTTTGGGGCACGTGGAGCAAGACAGGGTTCCTCTTGCCGTCTTATCTGTTTTCCAGCTTTGTCTCCCTAACCAGGGGAAATGGCGGGGACCAGCTGTGCATACATTTAAATATTTTCGCAGAGGGCTTATTTTCAGGGGGGCTTATTTTAACACATGTGCTCAAAAGCCCAATTGGGCTTATTATCCAGGGAGGTGTTATTTTTGGGGAGACACAGAATTTGATGTAGATTATTGGAAGATTATTGGACGCTATGGAAGATATTCACTGTTGGGTCCCCACTAAAATGGTGTTATTATCTTTGTTATTATAATTCACTATTATCCCGTAAATTATGATTGTGAGCAATTTCTTGTGAAATATGTTCATACAGTACTTGCAGGTATATGCAGTACTTGCAGGTACATAAATGTAGTTCTGGTCATATGGTTAGATAATTTGGTTAATTATCTTGCCTGTAACAGAATAGCAGAGTTGGAAGGGATCTTGGAGGTCTTCTAGTCCAACCCCCTGCATAAGCAGGAAACCCTATACTGTTTCAGACTTCTTATATACTTCTTAATCTTGCCCGTACTTATCTAGAAATTCCACTTGCATGCTAATTCCTTGTCTAGCTGATCACTTATTTTTGTTAAAGAGGAAGGACTGAGGTAATTGTGCATTTGTAAAATCTCACATCCATCTGATCTCCCTATGTCTTCAAGATATTATGTGTAGTGAGTAGACAAAAACTTATCAATTTCTCACTATATAAAGATAGTCAGTGCCTCAATAAATACACCAACTCTGTTATATGATTTGCATTTTCTCAGCTTAGCGGAATCACAATTGCTGTTTGAAATGTATTATTATTATTATATGACAGGTTTTATGATTTATTTTATCTTTCTTGCTCTTGTAGAAGAAGAAGAAGAAATGTTCTTCTCCATTTTAAGCACCTGTGGTTCCATAACATCTCTCAGAACTGAAAGGTTGGTATTAAGTTTATATGTATCTATGTATGTATTACTGGCAAGTGCCCATTTTGTGGCCACCATGTGGAGGTCATCTCAGATACTCCCACTGCCAGTTATTGCAACATGGTAAATCTGAGCAATTTCTTCCTGCCATCACAGTGGCCAAAAGAAACATTAGAACTATGTAATGAACAGTTGCAAACTGAATCCACTAACTGCAATTATCTAGCATCATTTTCCCACGCTCCCGCATGTGCACTGGCTTTCCGTAAATACCAGAAGGACATGGCATGGGATCCTGCCTTCTGTTAACATTGCTAAATGATTAGTGATGCTAAGGTTGGGGTTGTGCATGTGGATATGTATGTTTATAAACAAGACCCATGGAACGCAATGAGGCTTAGTTACAAGAAAAGGCACACATTTAATTTTGAACAGAGTCACATATACTCCGCAAACAGGGTTACATATATTCCGCAAAAAGGGTAGGGGTGAAATTTGTACCAAATATTGTCACAAGTTGAATTCAATAATATATAAGCATATTTACAAATCTGTGGGACTTTTATGTAGATCGTTTTGTTTTTTTGCATGACCCTAACTACTTGTGGGTTGTGGGCTGGACTGGAGACTGAAAACCTACACTGTAATTTCAGGAAATCCTGCTTAGCAATTTGAGATCTCAGTAGATAGGGCCCACCTATTTTCAGGAATACTATAGAAATCCTAAGGTCTCAAATCTTACTGTTCAAGAAAAGTTTAAATTCTTTGAAATCTATATTATTTGGCCACGATCACATTCTCCTTTTGTGTTACCCACAGTACTGTATATTAAGCCAAATTTGTCTTGCTGAATAGTCTCTATAACTAGTAGCTGGGTTTTTTTTGTTTTTTTTTTTACTTTGAAACAGTAAAGTTATCTAGTGTTTGTAGTGTAAGCTTTAAAAATAGTCTCATCTCTATATATGTAATTGTGATGGGACCTCCCTCACTACCCCCAGACTCATAGCTATAAAGCCAATCGGTCCCTGTCTAAAATAATGAGCTTAAATTTGAATGACTTCCATATGAGAACTTTTCCCCCTTTCCGTTACCAGAGATTCCATTAGTGGCCCTCCACTCACTGCCAAGAAACCTTGGGATCATAGCTCCCAGAATTCCCAGCCGGTGTAGTTGATGGACCTCTGGCTGGAAGTTCAGGGAACTGCAGTTCCAGTACAGATGAAGGACAGCAGAAGGCAAAATGACTGTTTTTTTTTTTAAACAAATGTTTGATAAATTAATAATAATAAAAAAATCTTTTAAAGCATCTCAGAACTAGTTCAAGGGCACAGTTCTGCATTTGCAAAGGCTGAGAATCCCTGCTTTATCACAACCACTTGTTGTTTTTAAATACCTTGAATATTAAATATGAGACAGAAAAAAGGAGACAAGCCACTTTTCATTCAGAGGGCTAATTCTGAACAGGCCATGTGGTAATATGAATCCGCCCTGTGGAACTACGAATGTAATTGAATGGTTTGTCATTCAAGTATTTCGTTGCAAAGACGCCTCTGCAGAGTTTCAAGGCTCCTCGTTCACAGTGGGTTCCTGTAAGTTGTGCTGCATGTTTCTATGTCTAAGCCACCAAAACCACATTGTTCCTAACCGCTTCAGACATGTATTGAGTCAAAATTGTGGGAAGAACCATGATTGCTTGATCCAGACAGGGATAAGGCAAAGAATTCTTATTTTTACCGGGCCTTGATCTTTGGTACTGCTTGAATGGAACTAACTGAAATGAAGAAGAATCCATGGTTTATCTAAGTCGTGCCAGACACTCCAGCTGAAGCAGAAGGCGATTGGTGGGACTTTCCTTCTTAGCTGTTGTTGTTGAGGATTACTTTGTTATTGGGGGGGGTTTTCCTCCCTATTTCCCTCCTATTTGGACATTATGCCAGATTTTTTGGGGGGGGTGTGGGAATCATAGGTCTAGGTTCCTTCAGAGAGAACCATGTTTGCAAATGCATATTGGGGCTGGAACAGTGATGGGATTCAAATAATTTAACAACTGGTTCTCTGCCCTAATGATGGTGGGTGGGGCCATGGTGGGCGGGGCCAGGGGGGTGTGACAGCAGCACTCAGCCTCCTGCACCCCCCGGCAAGCAAAAATGGGCCATGGGGGGGCGCCCACCCGCACGCCCCATTTTGGGCCTAGTAGGTCTCCTTGCAGCCTCCTGGGAACAAAAACAGGCCACGGGGGTGCCACGCCGCCCCCACGCCCCATTTTGGGCCTAGTAGGCATCTCTGCAGCCTCCTGGGAGCAAAAACAGGCCATGGGGGGGCGCTGCACCGCCTGCACCCTGTTTTGGGCCTAGTAGGCCTCCCTGCACATACCTGGGAGCCAAAATGGGGCGTGTGGGGACTCCTGGAAGGGGAGGGGAGGGGAGGGGAGGGGCCAGCCAGCAATTTAACAACCAGTTCTCCCCAAACCAGCCCAGACCGGCTGAATCCCACCACTGGAGTGCTGAGACAATGGTCTCTAGCCACACAATGCTGTCATATGTAAATGCACCTTATCTTAGTGAAGTAGCTCATTTCAATCCTGATCCCAAACATGAATTACACCCGAAACAACTGTAAGAATCATATAAAGGCATTTTCTTGTACTGGGGAAGAAAAGCCAAGTGACACCAGAGGTTAAAAGTATCTCCTGGGACAAGTAAAACGTTGAAGCTTCTTATTGTTGTTAACTGCTGAGTCCATGATGAATAGGCCAAAGCATATTACTCTGATTTAATTAGATATAATCTAGTTTAGATTAGATTGTAAAGAGTGCAAAAGAGATTTCAGATCACACACAGAAGTATTGGAACAAAGATACAATAGTGACTCGCTTGCATGTGTTTTAGGGGGAAAATGCAAAAACTAGCAGTTCCTCAGATCTGATTCCAGCATTAGGCAGAACACACAGGTCTCTTGGCAGGCAGAGAGCAAAATTAAACAGAAATGTTGTAATATAATATGTACTCAATGTCTCCTTTGTTTTGCTTGGTGATGTTGACTGCTAATTCATTCATAGTTTTTAAAAGACCATCACAACAGTCTCAGAGGACATTTTAGAACTAGGCTTTCTTTGTAAAAGTATACATAGGGTAAAATTGAATGCAGTTTTTTGGCTGATGAAACTGCTGCCATCAATGGAATAAGACAGAGGATACGTCCTTCCTGCACAATCCTTTTAGATTGAAATATTGATAGAGCTTGAGAGAAGTGATTGGCTTTTAGCAAAAGTGAATTTTTGGGTGCCTATTAATAAGAAACCACACGAACATTTTGCCTCTTGTAAGTCTGAGAGTTTCCATATGCAATTTTGAATCCCATAGATTTTAAACCAGGCAGAAGCCCTGCCTCCCTTCAAACTTCTCCTCCAATATATATACAGATCAAGGATTACTTCTAGCAAGAATGTGATGGCAGGGACACTGTAGATAGTCTGTATCCCTCACTCCATATTATTACCCAATGATACAAAGGAAGAACAAATGGTAGAAAAAAATATCTGTGGAATCGTCTCCTTCTGGGAATCAGATGTGAAATAATACATCTGTTGTCTTGCAGGAATATCTCCTGCATGCACTGCTAGTGTTCTGCTTGTAAAGAGATACAAAGATGTTTTCAGTTAGTTAAACCAAGATAAAGATCACAATCAGCAGGCTTGTTCAGACCAAACACAACAATGCAGGCTTTAGCACTGTTTCACAATGTTCTTCCCTTTTGCCTGAACAGCTTGTGCAGGATATTGTACGTTTCAAATACTCCCTTGCTCAAATGAAATCAAGCCAAGGCTTCATTTCACTTTGGGGTATTTCTTTGATCAGTAACATGCAGCAATATGAAAAAGAAATCCCTGAATTTATCCATCAAATTGTGATTCAAATAGTGATCCTTTTTAAATGGTGTTGGAACAGCTTTTCCTGGACTGTGGCAATCAACATTGGAATTTACATTCTTTTATTAAAAAGAGGAAAGACAATCTTCCAGTCAGGGAAAAACCATGTAGTCTGCTTTACTCTTAAGCTAACTAGAAAGAGTGCAGAGAAGAGCAACAAGGATGATTAGGAGACTGGAGGCTAAAACATATGAAGAATGGTTGCTGGAACTGGGTATGTCTAGTTTAATGAAAAGAAGGACTAAGGGAGACATGATAGCAGTGTTCCAATATCTCAGGGGATGCCACAAAGAAGAGGGACTCAAGCTATTCTCCAAAGCACCTGAGGGTAGGATAGGAAGCAATGGATGGAAATTAATCAAGGAGAGAAGCAATTTAGAACTAAGGAGACATTTCCTGACAATTAGAACAAATACTCAGTGGAACAACTTGCCTCCAGAAATTGTAAATGCTCCAACACTGGAAGTTTTAAAGAAGATGTTGGATAACCATTTGTCTGAAGTGGTGTAGGGTTTCCTGCCTAAGCAGAGGGTTGGACTAGAAGACCTCCAAGGTCTCTTCCAACTCTGTTATTGTATTGTATTCTATTCTAATTTTCAATGTGCACAGTGGGCTTCATACAAAAAGCAATCTCTCCTTGTTTTTTTACAATAATACAATTCACCAAATGGATTGTTACAGAGCCCGTTTGGTGCTGTGATTAAGGCATCAGGCTATAGACCGAGAGATGGTGATTCTGGTCCCACCTTGGCACAAAGCCACTTGGTTGACCTTGGGCTAATCACTCTTTCTCTCTCAGCCCTAGGAAGGCAAACCACTTCTGAAAATCTGGTGCCAATAAAACTCCAGAGACCTGTCTAGGTAAGCACCAGGAGTCAACACTGATTCAATAGCAAAGAAAAAAAAATCTTCTGAAATTTTTCATGAAAGATATTTTCATTTCTTACAATTTAGACTTTGACTAGTCTTTCTTCCACAACTATGAAGGCTCACAGATGTCACATAACATTTTCCACTAAAGCGCCAATATTTCATTCCCAATGCTCCATTTCCCAATTCCAAATAATGGGATTATGGTGTTTGTATCAAAGCAGACATCTCCAGCCGTGTAGCAGAGAGCAATGATTCTCTCAGCCGGAAAATGCTGAGAAGCAGAGACCAAGATAAGAAATTAAAATACAAGATTAAGTGTACAACAGTATTTGTGCTAAGTCTTAAACTAGTCCGCTGCTCTCAAATATGATAGAGAGTGAAGTATAGTAGTAGATGGTCACCTATCAGACCAATCAGCTCTGTTCGTGAAATGCCCCAAATACCAATGCTTATCAATATCTTATCCTGGTCTACAAAATACTTTGGGCTGGTCTTAACAGCGATGATAGTTATAGGAGCCTTGGTGGTGCAGCGGACTAAAGTGCTGTTAAGTAGCACTTAGCTGCCAGCTGCCTGCAATTACTGCAAGTTCAAATCTTACCAGGCTCAAGGTTGACTCAGCCTTCCATCCTTCCGAGGTAGGTAAAATGAGGACCCGGATTGTGGGGGCAATAAACTTTGTATATAAAAGAACACCGCTTAGAGGTAGGGCCGAAAGCCCTACTAAGCAGGTATATACAAAAGTATGAAGGCTATTGCTTAACGCATTGTAAGCTGCCCTGAGTCTCCGGAGAAGAGTGGCATATAAATCGAACCAATAAATAAATAAATGACTGCTATCTTGCCTTTTTTGACCACACACTGCAGACATCCTGTAAATATTCAACACTAAACTATGATTCAGCGTAACCTTTTGATGCAGCTATGATGCTTTTGAAAGTATATATTGTGGATTTAACCTGTGGCTTATTCTGTTTCTTTTGCAGGAGAAGCTGCTGTGTAATCATTGTTTTTGTGATGTTTGGAAACACAGATGAGTTGTTCTGAGGCTTCACCTTCCTCTCCTACTCCCCGAGATGACTTGAGGTTTTTACTAAGTGGACCAACAACCACTTGAGCTGCAGGATTTACATCCCAGTAGTGCTGTGCTACTTTCTTCTTCCCCTGCTTTCTTTCAAGTCTTCAGTGTCAATTGGTATTTCCAGGAAAGAATCCCATTTGAAGACAGTACTGATTTATGCTTGAGATTAGTATCTTTGCTTACAGTCAGCGTGATATTTCTGGTGTTTCCAGAAGTTTCAGCTTTTGAAAGTACGGCGAGATGATCAGATTCCTGCTTAGCTCAGCAACAGAGGTTGACTTTGATTTTGTGATGGCTGCTTTCAGAACTACTGCATTGAAAAATGTGCTGTTAGAAAACAATTGTTAAAATTATGTGTGATGTGTAATGGTTCAGAGAAGGTGGTCTCCCTTTTTCCTGCAAACACAGAATGACTCTGCTATTGTCATGCATGAACGACATGATAAGATGTTTCCTGGAATGTGTTCTCCACGCCTGCTGCTAACATATAGTAATATTCTAATATTATTTAAAGAGGGAACTTTGGAAAAAGTTGGATTTGGCAAGGATGGGTCTCGAATGCAGGTTTTTCTTTCATTTTGTTTGAATTTGCTAGCGAATTGTAACTCTTCTTCATAGCCTTTGAATGTTTCTAGTGTATTTAAAATTGCCATAGGTTAAGAAACAAATGGAATCTCCTAGTTTCTGAAAGCTGGTGCAGTGAAGGGTTACAAATGGGAGCTGTGAATAGCTAGAAACTCCCCTGGTGATCTTAGGCAACAAGCTGTGTCTCAGCTTTAGCTCCCTGGGTGTTTGCAGAGGGGGTTGTGGGGTGGGGTGGAGAAGTTGGGTGGAGTGGGGTGGGCAAAGGGAATTAAAGATGTCATATGCTTCATGATATAATCATGCAAGTGAAAGAACATGATCTGTATGCTTTGTGAAATGACATCATGCTGCATATGACATATTGTTGCATGCACTGGATGTCTCTGCTCAGCCCATCATCTCAACATTATACTAGCTTACAAACCCAGGTTGTGCCTGCAGACAGCTGAGTCTCAACACAAGAAACATTTTATGGACAATAAATAATAGGCAAACACAATTAATTATACTAGAATTTTGTCAAGGGATCGGTAAACTAAATAGTGAAGAATTAGTGGCACAGGGATATAATTGTCAGTGGTTCTCTTATTTACAATTATTAGAAAGAGTTCAAGTAGACAAAATAATTTATCGTTTTGGACATGGTAAGACTGAGCCTGAAACAGAACTGTACCAAAATTAGTTTAGTAAGGCAATTGTTAAAACATGTAAGTGTTTATTGACATTTGAAACAGGCAAATGGTAAAGTGGGCAAAAATGTTGGATATAATACACAGATAGAATAATGGGGAAATATGTTGCTGAAAGGTTTGAAATTTACCTTATGTTATAATCTTAAAATGAATTTTTATAAAATGATGTACCATAAGTATATGTACCATTGAGATATCTATCTATCTATCTATCTATCTATCTATCTATCTATCTATCTATCTTTCAAATTTATGTTGGAAGCATGAACAACAAGAGGGGACATTTTATCATGTTTAGTGGACGTGTAAAAAAGCTAGAAAATTCTGGATCCAAATCTATACATTGATTCAGCGGATTTTCAAGATTAATATACAATTGAAACCAGAGGAGTTTTTTGAGAGGGATTGATGGACAAAAGTTATGGAATGTTGTTGTTGTACAGTACAATTGCAGTAAGATTATTGTATGCACAAAAATGGAAATATATGGCATTATCCCAATGGAAAGATAGTTGATGAAAACGATGGAACTTGCCAAGATGGCTAAATCGACTTCTTTGATCAGGCAAAGTATCTATGTTTGTTGCTAACTTTATAGAATTTTTTGTGTAAAACCGAAAAAAAATGAGCTTATGATTTATGGCTTGAATGATTAGACAGAATGGATTACAGAGAGGAGACAGTTATATTGTAATCATACAGAAAGAGGTAGATTGATCATTGTACTTGTAACTGCTGTAAAGAAGATTGGAAGCTATTCTTTGTATGTTTTTTTCTTTCTTTTTTATTTTTGTTTTTCCCTTTTTTCCCTTTCTTGCAGTTTAACTTTTTCTTCAATTTATTTCTTTTTCTTTTCTTTATCTTACTTTATAGCAGTTTGTATTTATTTTCATTTTCCTTTTTAAAAAATCTTTAATAAAATTATAATATTACCACAGCTACATCTGGTCTACCAGCTTAGTTGTAAAGATAGATGAAATAAGATACTAGAAATTGTATGCTATAAATACATACATGCACTCCCATCTACATGTGGGTTTTTCTCTATAAACAATGCAGGTTAACAAACCTGCAAATAACAAAAAAAAGATCATCTGTAGAAACAAAGAAAAAACCCCAAATATCAAATAGATCTAACATTAATTTGTTTTCTTTTTTTCTGTTCTGTATTTTATCTTTGGTGATAAAAGAAAAATAAACGTGCTTTAAAAAAACTGTGCAGGATCAATTATCAGTGAGTGGGGATTTATATTAGCTCCATTACTAAACAATTCCCTCCAAATATACACTGGCTAAGGAATTAAAATATTATGAATTTGGTAGTTTGGATAAGTTGTGAGAGATCAGCATCTATTTTACTAAATAGCAAAAAAGAAAAAAATTCTCAGGGCAGTTTCTTGGGAAAAATGTTTTATTTCCTTGAGGCTGATTATTTCTTTATCCAACTTCATAAGACCTTTGGCTGTAGAAAAATAATCTCTGCGGAAATAGATTTATAAATGGTTTTGCATCACATAATGTGCCAGAAGATAAGGAGAAAGTAAATATATGCTATGAGTCAAGGGAATGTCTGCTAAGAGATCCTGCAAATCCAATCCTTACCTGTTCAGTTAATAAATGGACACCAACTTGGTTGGAGTGTGTGTGTTCATTTAAAGAAATAAAATTAAGAAACATTACATTTCTATTTCTACCATAAACCTATTTCTACCCATTGTTTTTAATTATATGTAGCTGATTAAGTCCAGGACTGTCCACAGGAAGAGAGTCAAAAAAAAAAAGTCAAAATGGTATACAACCAGGGGTGAGTTTCAGCAGGTTCTGAGCAGTTCTGAAGAACTGGTAGCGGAAATTTTGAGTAGTTTGGAGAACCGGTAGTAAAAATTCTGACTGGCCCTGCCTCCATCTATTCTCTGCCTCCCAAGTCCCAGCTGATCGGGAGGAAATGGGGATTTTGCAGTAACCTTCCCCTGGAGTGAGGTGGGAATGGAGGTTTTACAGTATCCTTCCCCTGCCACGCCCACCATGCCACACCCACAGAACCAGTAGTAAAAAATTTTGAAACCCACCACTTTATACAATCATTCAATAAAAGTCTTCACCCCTTTTTTATATGCATTGTGACTAATTAAATCAAAACAGTCTAAATATCCAATTCCTTGTCAGGACAGAAGTTCAAGAGACAGACATATAGTTTACTCCCTGCTTTCATCTGAATGAAAAAACTTTCTGACTGACGTCACACATTGCATGAAGATATAATTTAAAAAATGTTATTCTGAACTAGTCAAATTGGTTCACATTCAGTAAAATTGTAAACCAATTAAAAGCAATTCTGCTATGGCTGGGTATTAAGCATGAATAGTCCTGGATATATACATCTAATATTGGTCCTTTAAACCCAAAATGTCTACTCAGAAGGACAGATTTTTCTCGTTTAGCGGCTGCCTCATTTAGTGACCATTCACATTTACAGTGGTGATGTGACCAACCCTTCGCATTTACAATCTTTGCAGTTTTGTAAAGGAAAACATAGTTGAAATGAGATCATAAGAACAGTTGTGGTTTCCCTTAATGAAGTCCATATTCTTCAGATAAATGTTGTGTGATTCAATGATCACTGAAAAGAAACCAAGAAGATGATGAGAATTGGCTTCGTGCCATGCTCCTTTATTTCTGTCCTCCTCGTCTTATTCCTTCCTTATCAAAAGCCACTTGCTTCCTTGCAAGAGAGCAAAAGCTGTCACTGCTCTTTTCTTCTTCCTTTTATGACACGCAGTTGTACATTTCAACCCCAGGCCACCCCAATGATGCCCTTGACATGATGTCCCGCTGCCTGGAGGCCGTGCGGATCTGGATGGGGAGGAACAGGCTCAGACTCAACCCCTCCAAGACTGAGTGGCTGTGGCTCCCGACGGCCCGATATAGCCAGCTGACACCATCGCTGGCTATTGGGGATGAGATCTTACCCCCCTCAAAAGGGCTCACAACTTGGGCGTCCTCCTGGACTCACGGCTGTCCTTGGAGGATCATATGATGACCATGGCCAGGGGTGCTTTTTATCAGGTTCGCCTGATCTCCCAATTGTGTCCCTTTCTGGATTGGGACGCCCTGAGCACAGTCACTCACGCCCTCGTCACTTCGCGGCTGGACTATTGTAATGCTCTCTACATGGGGCTCCCCTTGACGAGCACCCGGAGGCTCCAGCTGGTCCAGAATGCAATCGTGTGAGTAATAATGGGGGCGACTCATCGCTCCCATGTAACACCCATCTTGCGCGAGCTGCACTGGCTCCCGGTGGTCTTCCGGGTGCGCTTCAAGGTGTTGGTTACCACCTTTAAAGGGCTCCATGGCTTAGGACCTGGTTACCTACAGGACCGCATTCTGCCACCGATTGCCTCCCACCGACCAATATGCTCCCACAGAAAGGGCCTCCTCAGGGTGCTGTCAGCCAAACAGTGTAGGCTGGCGACCCCCAGGGGGAGAGCCTTCTCTGTGGGGGTCCCGGCCCTATGGAATGAACTGCCCCCGGACATACGAAGGATCCCCGACCTCCGTGCCTTCTGTCGCGCTCTGAAGACCCTATTATTCCAGCAAGCTGGTCTGACAGGATAAAGGTTTTTAAATTGGGTTTTGATAGGGGTTTTAAAATGATTTTAGTTGGATGTTTTAAATTTGGCCGAATGATTGAATTATTTTAATAAGCTTTTAATTTTTGTTGTACATTGTTTTTACCATGGCTGTTCACCGCCCTGAGTCCCTCGGGAGAAGGGCGGTATATAAATATAATAAACTAACTAACTAACTATAGTGATTATCTGGATACATGCAGTCTCAGAGAATTGTGTATTATGTAATTGTGTGATCAGGAGAAAAGGAAGAAAGAAGATGGCAGCACTCAAATTGCTGTAAATGCGTTGAAAGTTCATTTTGAAAAGTAAATTCACTAGGGGAAAAAATACTCATTTCCTTCCAAAAAGACAGAAAACAGCTGCCTGTTTTTGAAGATAGTACATGAACTAAAAATTAATGAAGATGTACAAGACGTTCTTGGAATACTGGACTATGAAGGCCTTCTTAAGTTGAAAGATGAATGTTAGACTGGCATTTGTTATCCAATTAAGATGAAAGCAGAGCTTTGTTTCAAGTGAGGTGCAACTGTTACAGACTACAAAACTGATGCTTTTAAAAGATTCCATGCAAGATCAATGGAATGCTTGTGTCTATAAATACAGTACATTTGGCCTTGACAATTCCCCTGAAGCGTGTTATAATCCTAAAAGCAATTCATTGGATTCCCACAACTGGATCTCATAGAATGAGTAACTAAGTACATGTTGCTCAGTAAATACAATGCAGTTTGTACTGAAATGTTGTACTGTATGTACATAATGCTTGCAATAGTTGTGGTTTTGAAATATTACTCTGAATAAGGATATTCTGTTTCAAGGCAAACTTTGAGTGCTAATATTTTAAGAGCTTGTTGAATAATACAGAAATGCCAACTGCTACTTCAACAGTCTTCATATATTCTACATTTATAAATTTTGAGTAGCATGTTTTAAAATTGTTTCTTTTGTAAATAGTGTAACCATGGTTTGTTCTCTTACAGTTATTCCAGCATTTTAAAAAATATTTTATCACCCTTCCAGTATATGCGCGCTTGCTTATTTGCTCTGTTTGGGGATATTATGTTCATATGTTCAAATACAGTATATGTTCATATATTTTGGAATTGTGAATTAATATGACAGAGCAAGACAGGCACTTTATAAGATGTAGTTATTGCGCTTAGCTTATATTTTCATGGCTGGGTTGATGTGACTGGAGCTATTATTTTCAGAAGTAGGGAACAGTACCTAGTTGATATTTCTACTAATAAACTGAAGAAAAATTTATAAAGATGCAGAATTCAGAATTATATTTTGAGAACATTGTATTTTGAGAGAAATGATTCCGTTTGCATTGTCACCAAACAATCTGCATAAAGTGCTTTAAATGTTGATAATAACTTTCTGCTTTCTTAGTTTGAGAGATGTAACAGAAATATTCAAGGTTTATTAGAAAAATGGCTGCTGCCAACAGAATGGGCTAGATGACTTTTTATTTAATGGCTAGATAATGTTGTAAACAAAGGAAAATTAAAGAGCAAGAAGCCAACAGTGTCATCAACTCACAAAAAAAAAAGGGTTGTAATGTCTTTTTATGTATAGAGCAGCACAGTAGCCTAGAGGTGAAGATACTTGCCTCATACTCAGAAGGTTGAGAGTTCAATCCTAGGCAGTAGCAGATGTTTCTCTATTAGGGTACAAACATAAAATATCTGCTGCAAACTCTGTGTAGGCATCAGGAAGGACATCCGACCAGTAAATGATTGGCACCATTCAACTGACCCGAGTCCACCCTGAATAAAGGGATTAAAGGGTCATAAAAAGAAAAAAAAAGTCTTTTTATGTGTCATTCAGAAAAGGATGCTACATCTTTACACTTCATTTTCATTCAAAATTACATATACTTGGGATTTGACTTAGTGTAAATGCATGAATTCACCTTAACAAGTGAATGAATCTATATAAGAATACTTTGATCAGGGTATCTCAGATTGAGTGCTATTATATATTTACCTCCACTGATGATACCTCCCAAGAATAATAAAAAATACTATCCTGGGCGAATCATATTTACAATGAAGAAAATCAAACGAGAGTTGCAAATTGAAATTTATGTAGATTTAGTGCGAGGGTGTCAAACTCGTGGCCTGCGGGCCAGGTGTGTCACGTTTTGGCTCCGCCTCTGCCCGGTTTAGCAAAGTGGGAAAAAGTCCCAATACATCATGTGACACCACCATGACGACGTGAGTTTGACACCACTTATTTAGCATACATGTAGATAAGCCAAGAGTAGGGAAATTAAACATTCACATAAAAGAAAGCATGACTTCAACTATTTTTGAAATTGATCATTAATTCTAGTGGTGTGGAAGGTCAAATAGCTCTCTGAATTACCTTAAAAAGAAAAAAATGGGTTAACTACCAAAAAGTTCATTGGGCCCCTCTCTGCCAATTCTGACACTTTAAGAAGGTCATCTTCATACTTTGAAAACTGGCTTTATAGTGGAGAATTTCATCTTCAATGAACGCTTATAAATCACAGTTAGCTATCTATTTATAAAAGTATATGAAATATGCATCAAGATAAGATGTTTTGTAGATATGCATTTTAAGTTTATATACAGAGGTCATAAGCATCATAACTACATGCTTTAATATGTTTTTTGTTTTCCATAATATTTTTTCTTAAAAGTAGTGAATGTCTTCAGTATACTAAGATCTGTGCAAATGTGTAGATGATTGCACAATTTAAGTAGGATTTAAAATGAGTATCATGTTTCTTTAAATTTATTTACATCTCTTGAATGTTTAGTAATTGCCCAATATAAGTTACTGTAGTTTGAATCAACTACAGTAAGTAGTTGATTCAAAATCATTACAGACCAGCTACCAAAGGCTGCCACAACAGATGTGAACATCAAGTGTTACTGAATGTCAAACAGTTGCCTTTAATTGCAGTTTGTTGTTACATCTGAATTTGTTTCAGGTTAATTATAATGTGCTACATCATTCTGCCCACAAGGCACAATGACAGAACTGATAGAAAACAGAACCATATGTGGAGCTAAATGATTCTTTGGAGATCCACC